TACTATGCACTCCGAGCGAACAACACGTAGTACTAGGAGGGCAATATATGTTCTTTAATTTTTCTCGTCATTAATATTATTAGTTATGATTTTCTTTTGCACAAGTTTATTGTTTAATAAAATTTATACATTTTTGTGTTTTTACCTGGTGTGGTATGTATATATTTCCTCATTTTTATATTTATATTTGATATAAACTATTGCTATTTATGTAATGGGTTTTAGATTATTGGATGATGACTCACATTAAGTGTTTTTAATCTTTTGATAATATATGACCAGGACTCACATTAAGTGTCGAAACGTTTAATAGAATAAACAAAATTTCTGTTTTAATCTTTTTAATTCGACGATTGGACTGCAAAATACTTCAAAATATGTATCAATATCGACAAAACTATCATCATCTATATCTATTGTATTATTTTTCATTTATTATTAATTGCAAATTGAACCAAAAGCATGCACCTACAAGGTCTAGATCACGTTTCAACCTATCACTTATTTTGTTATCCTCTTACAGATGATGATCATTCTACGTTTCATGTACGGTATTCTATCCATTTTGAAAATTGAGACATTAGTCGAGTAATTAGGTCAATTCCATGTTGCAGCAGATTTAAACTGCCGCCGCGTTGAACGCGGTTGCCGCCGCCTGCGATCGTTTGACGTGTGCAGGGGAGCTGCTTGCTGCCTGTATTATGTTTGTCCGGGGCATATGCGTTACAAAAGAGAATCTGTGAAGCCGCCACACACGACTCGGAACCGACGGAATGACTAATTGTATTTCCTCGGGAAACCGTCATGCGAAATCTGACTGTTTGATTAGCACACAAAATATCGTCGTCTATTATACTGATGAATTTGTGTTTTGAAATTTGCTCTAACAATCGTATTTTGCCATTTATAAATGTACATATGAGAGATAAAAATCGTACAACTGTTATGCGACTTGGAAAACTAATTTATTATGGCATTTATTCAATCACGCTTATCAGATTTTTTGCCTTGCTAAACCACCTGCAAGAAATATTTACTTACAACTTTTAATATACCATTGAAAAAATTCAAAGCGGAGCATCCGATTAGAATGATTCAGATATTATTAACTTCCCGAAGGAGAAGTTTATGTTTTCATCATTTTACTTGCATTGATACAATGCATTTAGAATATAAATCAGTTGATTCGTGCGCCTGAAAACGTGGACGAAAAATTGCGGACACACTAAACACACATATATTTTTTCTGAGGTATGCCAAAATGTTCATAAACCTTCAAAACGTGAAAATACGCAAAAATGTTCATTTTCGATTTTTGGCCCATTACTATAACTACGTGAAGTTAAAAATATATAACCAATCAGTTATATGCATCGTGCAACTTTACGACTAACTAGAGCCCATAACAAACAGTCCCACATCTGAAAAAGTGTATAAATTTTTTCCGCATTTATCAATCACTTTAATAGCCACTTTAGAAATTACGTAAGCGACATCAAATTAATCAAGCAAGAAAATATCTAGATCGCATACTGATATCTTTAATGACTTTTGTGAAATTCTATAAGCCGTTGTATAGTTTTCGTTTTATGAAACTTTACCTACATGTTTTACGATACTATTATTATTTTCTCGTTCGAACCACGACTAGCTATATACATGGTTCATTATGTGAGGAATAAAAATATAATTAGTTTTAATTCCACTGCATTTTTAAAACATCTAAAATAATACTTTTATGTTCTATGCCTGAAAAAATATATACACAAAGAGAACGGAATTTCATTTGAGTTTCTTTTTAATTTTTAAATTTTACAAACAATGAATTATTACCATTGAAGTGTGATATTTGTTTTGCAACAATAACGCAAATACAGATTAATAGTGGTCAAATAAAATTTGGTAAATGGCTTAAATTGCAAAGCTGATTGAAATTATTTTTTTCATATTGGTATAAAATAGTACTTTAAGTATTCATAGTGCTCGATTCATGAGCATTTTCGCTCTGGCTACATTTGAATGCTTATAACTTTTCAAAGAGATGAGAGAGAATATTGCAGTTTTCAGCCTAAATTAATATAATACAAAAATTTAGCTATCCGCTAAGTATTTTTCAACCTTTTTAATGCCGTTTGCAAGATATTCACTTAATAGCCAATTATAAACTATTGATCTAAATTCATTGATTGACCAACTTTTAATGGCATTTTACGATTTGTATCAGTAATTTTCTATATATGAAGCTGGCAAAACTGTAAAATTTATAAGATGGAGCTTTTGCACGACTGAATACTACTGCATTGCATATTTTTCTCTAGAGAGATCTAAGGTACTGCAGATTTGCTTGGAATTGCTGGCAACAAATCATTATCATATAAACTGCAAATCGCCAATGCCCACGTGCCGTGTATGTTCTACAATTCGGTTCAGTCCTACAATATCCATTTATAATTTTCTAACCCGTACTAAAAATAAATGGCAGGACATTCAAGATATAATAAAATCTTATGATTTCGATCTAGATGTACGTCTTCTCATATTGCAATCGATATGTGAAAAAATATTGCCGGACCCAATCCTATAAATTCTAGCTACCTTAGATTAGCCACCGATCTCAAAAATAATTATTGGTGATAAAAAATTGGTAAGACATTAAAAATGTATTCAAACCTATTGCTACCAAAGTAAAATCAAGGTTGTTCCCGTGGTGATTAAATCTTAATAAAATATATAGCTGTAACAATAATACAACTTGTCTTTTAACATTGTTTCTAGTTTTCTGATATAATACAATATCTTTCTATTACTAAAGTCCTTATAATAATGGCGTGAAAAGCATCTCGCGTAAATATCTCGAAAAGACATAAATATCATTATACTTGAAATTCCATCATACTTTTTGCAATGCTTTTAATTTACATACAATCTAATTTGATTTTGATGGAAATCACAGGGAGTGTAATATCATTTTCTTAAATTTCGTTTGATGACAAAATGATGTAATGTAAGGGAGCATTAATACTTTGGAATATACCTTGCCCCATCATACTCCAGAGCAGGACGGGATTGAATTCAAAGAAATGCCTGATAACGTGGATATTAAATTTAGAGTAATGATTTTGTACAAGAAAAAATAAAATAAAAAAACCTATCAAGTAATATTTATAATATTTATGTATAGCCTAGACATATCATTTAAGGATAACCCAGACATATTTTTGTATAAGTAGCTTATGTCAATACTAATCAATTTCAATAATA